CATTGGGCAGACCTGTCAGAAAATATTTACTCGGAAGCACAGAGGTCCCCAAAGCGCAGGCCGACAAGCAGACATGGCAGGACTAGACGAAGATGCCATAGACGAGGTCTTGTACCTCGCGCGCGCAAACGAACCTTCCGAGCTTGATTCATACGTCTCCGAACTGTCCACACAGACCAAGCGACCGAAGGCGGAACTGTTCGCTGCGGCCATCGACCCATACTCGAAGAATAGCGCACTGCACTATGCTGCTGCCAATGGTCACAACGGTAACATTTCCAGTCGTGCGTGGTCGAAAGCCATTCTCACTAGCATAGATATTATCAAGTTGCTCTTCTCGACAAGCGCAGAGAAGCCAGAACCGGCATTTCTAAACGCAGTCAACGATGCAGGCAACACTCCCCTTCACTGGGCTGCGTTGAACGGCCACCTCGAAAGCGTGAAACTCCTAGTACAGTCCGGCGCCGACGTCACCATCATCAACCGAGCGGGCCACGATGCGGTCTACGAAGCGGAGATCAACGACAAGAACGACGTGGTAGACTGGCTGCTCGGAGCCGTAGAAGAGCTGGAGAATGGCATTGGACAGAATGACCAGCCGGAAGCCGGAGACGCAGAGGACAACATGGATGATGCAGATGCAGAAGCGGAGCGCGCCCAAGACAGCATTGCACCGGCGCAAGGGGTCGCAGCTGAACCGACAGTGGAAGGCGTTCGGAAGCAGATGGCGGACATGAGTACCCAGGACGTCGTCTCGAAGGGTGGCTGAAGCAGCTGCATCCTTGGCCGCAATATACATATATTACTGACGGCGTGCGACCTGCAAGGAACATGATGGCATGGGGTTCATGGCAAGGCCGAGCTCCACGTGGCGCGGGCCTGTGCAAGACAGCCACGGTTCCAGGGCAAGGTCTAGAAAGATGAACGCGGGGCATAAGAGAGCAGTATTGGTTGATGAACAAGGCAACAAAAATGCCATTGTATCTATGGGTCATGCACTGAAGTGTATAAGACCTTGCTAGCTTCCAGTTGTGACTACGAGCAATAGAGGCTTACTCCTGCTGGCAATGCCACCTGTATCCAGACACCTAGTCAAGAAAGTAGACTGGCTCTCATCATTGGTCATCCGCTCGAGTACACAATGAGCAGTCATCATGCTCATGTAAAACATGTGTGGTTCATACCACGACGCTGAGCGAAGACGCACAGTCCCATCATGCTATACTATCGCATCCAAAAGCACCGGAACAGACGTGAGACCCTACCTTGACAGATAGACATGTAATCATCAATCCAAGGGTGTTGCCCATGCCTAGCTTGCATTAGTACACGTTGGAACCTGCACTGCTATTCTCTCTTTCTTACCGCCCACACGCTCAGTCGAGAAGCCAGGCACGGCGCTTCGCGTCCTTCGCGGCTCGGCGCTTTTCGTTGTACTCCTTGAGCTGCTTCTTGCTGAGGTGCTGAGAGCGACGCTCTGCCTTGAGACTACGTCCGTCGTGGCTATTGGCGGCTGCATCAACATCGAAGAAGGCATTCATCTGGCGATGACTCTTGTTTTCATCGTTGTGCATCTCAGGACCTTGACCAACTTGTTGCTGTTTGCCGTTGAAACGGTTGAACTGGGCAGTTGTCGTATAGTCATTGCTAGGGAGGAGCGCGTTGCGAGCTGCGGAGGCTGCAGCAGCGGAGGCCTGCGCTGCATCCTCTTCCTCCTTCTCTGCCTCCTTGGCGTAGTCGGCGTTGGGGTCGAAGCTGCCATGGATCTTGGGGTTGTATCCGCCCCACTTGCGCTTTGGTGGTGGGCTGGTACCCGGCGCGCCAGAGCTTGATGACAGTGCAGCGGCGCCAGCGTAAGGGTTTCTGTAGAGTGCACGTATTAGGCTGGGAAAGACACGAAAAGAAGATGATAGTTAGCAAACCTGTCGTAGCCGAGGCTGTGGGTTGGGGCGGTCGGAACGCGTGGATTTTCCCACTGCGAAAGACCCGTCTTGCGGTTTAGGAAGTACCAGGCGCCTGCGTTGGGCTCCCACCTGGGCTCCCAGCCATCGTCCTCGTCGTCTGGGACAGGCTCGTCGGGGAGGGGAGGCGCGCCACCATCGTACGGGAGAGGCGCAGAGGCGCTTGACGTGTAGCTAGTTTCCCTATCCGAGGGCTTGACATACGCGACTTCCGGGGTACTTGCGCGGCCGTCGCCCGGCTGCGCAGCGGCAGTTGGCGAGGACTTGCGCTCCTGATCTTGGTGGCCGGACTGGAGAGCCATGCTGCAGAGTCTCTGTACACTTGAAGATGTTAGAAAGGATGTGCCCGGTTTAGAGGCTGGTTGCATGCACGAGGTCGACAAAGAGGTTGCCGGCACGGTCAGTAGCGTTGGTGTTGTTGTTGCGAGTCGCCCCGGTCGCACCTGCACAAAGAACTTCGGAGCTGGCTTGGCACTGCGCTAGCGACGTAAGCAGACGGAGCGTGCATGTGACCTTGGCACTTTCGTTCCCGATACACTGATACCCCATCATCTGCACTGACTCGCAAGCCGCTTCGCTTCGGTCCAGCTCAACGGCGATCCGCTTGTGCCTGCGCCTTAGTCCTTGCCAGTTCCCGGCCGCTCGCCTGATCACTCGGTCCTTTGTCTCATAATAAATACGGGTGGTGCGAAAGTTTTGAGGGCGTCATCGCCGAGAACGGGAAACGACAGCCGATCCTGCATCGTCGTTGCAGCAAGCCTCGACGGCACGACAAGCACGCTGCGCACGCGCTTCCATCGCTAGGCCGGATGATGTGACAGACCAAATCTCGTCTTCAAGCCACCAGAGCATCCGGAGAAAGCCCTTATTATATGGAGTCTCAAGGCGCCCGAAGATGTGCATTGACTCGGGAGCTTGCAGTCAAGAAACCGACCGCTAAGCTTAGAGCCGTTCGGAGCGGGCCAAGTTGGCTTCATGCAAGCAAGGCCAGAGGCGTTAGGGGATCCGGGACGTAAGAGGATCGAGATGGTCTCAATCGCCCGCTCAACGGCTGCTGTGAGCTCGTTCCGATCGGATTCTGGTGCCGCTTTAGCTAGGATTTGTCGGCGCCTTTTTAGCTGACGACAACGGCATCGCTCGTGTCAGCATTTGGCACCAGCCAGTCCATTGTCGAGCGGGGACAAAAGGCTGTTTGTGGGCACCGTAGGGCCGGCCGCCGGGACACCTGTCTTTCTGTTCGCATCGTTGACGGCGGCTTATTTGCCCTCTTTTCTCCTGCAGCGAGAGGCGTCGTTTATGGTGGCTGCACGTTTTAGCTGCTTCCAGCCCTTGGCCTCAATCTAAGTGAAGCTTATTGGTCGGATCCGCTCCAGAACCTAACGCCAGGTCCCAGAGTTTCGCGGCAAAATAGCAAGGACATGTTCGCTGCATTCCGAGCCCACGCTGCATGATCTGCACAGGTCATTAGCGGATTAGCTGCGGTTGGCCAGCTGCCAGTTGGTACGATCTGGGGCTCACTTGCCCACGCGCCATCCACGACTGCAGTAACGTGCATCAGTCTGCATCTGACGCAGCACGCTATCTAGCCCGCAGAGGGTGGTTGACTCGATATCTGCAGCCAATATTCCGGCTGGCTTGCTCATACCCTGGTCGGTTCCAGCATCTTCGGGTCTCAAACAGCAAAGGCTCCACGACCATGTCCCTGGCGGTCCGTCACTGCACGCCACTGGAATAATCGCTGACCTACTTGGAGGCCGCGGTCGCTCCTCCTTGAAGCCTGTTCTTGCAAGGGCCTCCTGGTAACCTCTTGACTGGCCGAGCACGGGGTCCCGCTGTCGTCCGCCCACCCTCCACTTTTGCTACCCGGCATTATTGTACTTATTACTATTATCCTTTGCCTTGCGTTCAAGCAACCGAAGCCGTGCTCGCTGCGTGCTCAGTGTCAATTGCGCCCAGAAGGAGCGCCCGCGCCGCATATCTTAATCCCTGCATCTGTAAGTTCTTCCCGCGTCGCCCCTACATACGCTCTTACATGCACTGTTGCTTTGTGCTTCGGTTGCGGTTCATACGGAGCCGGAACAGCGGTGCTCAGTCGTCAGACGTCAGCCCTGCACGGACTGTTGATTCTTTGGTCTATTTTCTAGACTGCAACGGACATCCTAGTCAAGGCCAGACGCTTCTGTTCGTTGGCCACCTTCCTGACTTCTTCACGTACCTTTATGTACCCGTTAGGTTGTCTACTAGCTGATGCCGTGGCTGCATCAGTGTCAAGCGTTGAGCAGTGCCTGGATCCCTTGAGCATCCTAGGCAGTCCATAGCTCCTACTGTTCCATATTCCCTCATGTGGCCGGTCAACGGGGTGTACCGTGGAAATCATCCCACCTCAAGCGCCGAACATCAAAACCCATCTTACCTGCTATGCTTCTCAACATGAGTCGTCCACCCAGCATACCCTCACATTCAGGTCCTCCGCCATCCTACAGCCCTTACCCAGCACATCATGCTTCATCGTCTCGACCAGAAATCATTGCCCCCAGTCAGCACGTTCGCCCCAGAGATTCCAGTGGAAGTCATAACAATGCGCAGCAATTACCAAGTCTTCGCACGCTTCTGGAACCAGAACTACTGGACAAGAAGTCGTCTGATCCATCGCTGAGAGCGGGCGGCGCTCCGGTACCTTACAGCCATGGCGGTCGTTACGGGTCGTCAAGTCCGACACTGAAGAGACGGCATGAATATGATGGTTACTTCCATGGCTACCCAGAGCATAATGCTATCGCTTCTCAAACACCCTACCACCACCGTCAACCTCTTTCGACCACAAACGCCACCACATCCACCACATCCTTACCACCCGGCTCTGGGTTTGGTGTCGGCCGAGTAGATCTCCAACGGCGCGAAAGTTTTGCACATCCTTCACAGCATGAGCTGGCGGTAAATGGGCATCGGCAAGCTTCGCTCATGTCTGATGCGACGGGAACGATGACGACTCACTCCGTTCAGCAAGAACTAGGGTTTGACCCAAGTAGGCCTGTCAGGATGAGACGACTGGAGGGTTCCTCAAGAGCTCCGGTACGATCGTCGCGTTGTGTGGGCCAGCGCGATATACCTGGCGAAGGCCCATGCTACGTCTACGAGGACGGCACCTACTGTCGGGCTATAATAGACGGCGAGGCCGTGAACCCTTCCTGGGGCATTACGAAGGCGGGGAAGCCTCGAAAACGACTCGCGCAGGCTTGCCTTACCTGTCGAGAGAAGAAGATCAAGTGCGAGCCCGGGTATCCAAAATGCCAGCAATGCGCCAAGTCGCAAAGAGTATGCAGAGGGTAAGTGGATCTCCCTGTTTGCAGTTCCCTTCTTTTCTCATTCGAGAACGTGGAACGCATTGACTTAATTGACTTGTTATACACTTCGGACCAGACAGGACTATAGTTCTATTATAGAATGACAAATACTAACCAATGGTAGAGGACTCAATCAAAGCAATGCATCCGGCGAGACATCACCGTCAAACTCCGCTCCGCTATTTAAGAACCATTCGTCCGAAGTCTTGAGTCCCGCAGCCAACTCAGATAGAAACAAAGCTCCCGGAGAGCTGCGAGACTCATCAAGAAAGGTTGACACTTGGAACTCCGGAACCCCGTTCAGACCTCGAAAGTACCGCCATCATACTAGCACGGACCCGAGAGACATGTCGGTACAGTCGTACGATTCGGATTGGAGTGGTTCGGCAAATGACCAGAGCCTTGACGATCCCGGACGTGGCTCTTACTCCGATCAACTTGCCCTCCAATGGGAACAGGATCCTTTCGAAACTGACCCTGGACTGACGATGCACCTACTGGATCTTTATTTCAATCACGCGGGTCGCGCGACCTATGGCATGTTTCCTCGTAGACCCTTCCTCGCATGGGTAGAGGGTAACCGCGACAAGAACCACGACCACTTGATGCTTTTATACTCAGTCCTGGCTATAGGCTCACTGTTTTCGGTTGATGGAGATAAGAAAGCCCTGGGAAAGAAGTTCGCTTCGGTTGCGTCATATGCAGCAGAAAAGCGGTTCGGGAAATTCAGCCTGCAGTTATGCCAGACTCGGCTGATGCTCGCGCTCTACTATTTTGCTCGCGGCAAGTCACAGGAGGCCTGGGACTATTGTGGTGCTGGTCTGCGAGCTCTCAGCGCCCTGAAGCTGAATTCTGAAGAAGGCGTTAAAGAGCTGGTTGATAGCAGTGCCGATTGGGACTATGGACTTGATCGTCAAATGTTCGCGGAGTGCTGTCGTCGCACTTTTTGGTCCGGACTACTGATGGATGTAAGTCACGACGTCATCAAGGTCCCAGCATCCGTTGACTTGATGCAACAACAGCGATACAATGGCTTCTTCGGAGGGACCCTTTTCGTCCTCAACTTGGAGGATGCCTTCGTTCAGCTCCCATGTCTGGACAGCATGTACGATGCATCAACACCGTGTAACGCGCCGATCCTAGACGAAGATCTCCTGAGTGGAAATGCCACTTCTGGCCCCGTTCTTGGCCACATGGCGTATCTATGCCTGATATCGACGCTATGGGGCGAGGTCCTTACCTTCACTAGCCGAGCTGCGCGTCGGCCCGACAGTACCTATGAACGACATTACGACACGTTCTACACGCGAATCAATGAGAAGCTGGAAGCATGGCATGCGATGTTGCCGGAGGAACTTCGTTACAGCCCACGAAATCTCGACAACAGCATGGTTGCAGGATACGCAGGTACATTCGTGTCTATACACGCTTTGTATTACGCTACAATCATCCGGCTCAATCGCCATATCAGAGTCAGCATATTACCAATGGAAAAACAACGCCGAAATCTGGAACGAGCCCTACGCATGGCGTCCAACTTTCTGTCGATGATGCTTTCCCTAGCTCCAGCTAGCCGCCAACGTCTTTCGCCCACCGTTGCCTCGGACCTCTCGTTCTCGACGCCTTTCCCTGGTTACGCGCTCATGCTTTCGGTCGATGTATTGACCTCTGCCGGGCTGTTATCATCATTGCCGACTTTGATCGAGACACTCAACACTACACTGACCTGTATCGACGAACTAGCAGGCGTTTGGGCTTCTGCAAAAGCGCAGCAGAAGACAGTATCGAATCGGATCAAGCAGCTCATGGATATTGCCGCACAACAGGGCCAAGGCATAAGCAACGGAAGTTACGGAAATTTCTGGAGGATCGGCAACAGTCTTGAGACGGCTTTCGGAAACGATGATGCGTTGTATAAGACCGAAGACCAGTTGCTTTTCGGCGTTGTGGGTCAGCTTACGAGTCAGTAAAATGCCTGTCCATCAATACTTGCTACTCCACGAACCAATGCCGGCTTACGTCTTTTCCTTGGACCACATCGGTTTTGTATGCGCTTCTTGTAATTGTCTCGGATCTGTGGTTATGCAATGGTGTCGCACGCTGCATAAACCTCGGCCCGATCTCCAAATCGCGTTCGTCTGGCCAACGCGCCCAGCATCAGCAGAATCCGCTCTGACAGAGAGCATGCATCTGCAAGGGCTGAAAAGCGATTCAGCCTCCTATGGCCTATTAGGAGTGCGTTCGTATATGGACGATGATCGCATGTTATCCCCACGACGCTGCCCTCTCCAAGTTGTGAACTCACGAGAAATTTGTATTCGTACTACTCTCAAAAGCCGTGAATGGACGGAGGATGCTTTCGCAAAGGTTCATGCGGTATTATTTTTCTTGTCTTTCAAGTCTCATTCTCATTCTCGGCCATGTGTCATGGAGCGGCTTTGTACAATTATCACTTACCAAGATCATGCGCGCATAATGATTGGCACCTTGTACCATCAAACGATATTATAAACAGAATCTTTAACTACTCAAGGACTCTAAATCATCTGTCGTAGTGTTACGAGATAGCAGATATCTCACTTCGTGAGACCTAGGCAGTAAATCCTGCTCATGGTGAAGCGGTATCATCAAAGCATGATCGAGCTTTGCTGCAGTACTCCCTCACACAACGCGTTTGCTTTGCCCGAAATCCACTTCGCGGAAATAGAGTACCCGTACCTTGCACCTCGGGTGCTACACTTGCGCCGTGACCGCAATAAGCAAGCAACAAGGTTGACTCATGCGGGGACGCGGGACTTTCTAAGCCACAATGTCTAAGATGAAGCCAAGGGACCCTATGTGTGACTTGCACGTCGACGATTATCGCACTCTTCCCTGGTCAATTAAACGCTCCACACCACTACCGGGACGCCTTCGGTCCACACCAACAATCCAAAAACAGACAGATGAGGTATACGAAGGAGGAGGCCCGCGGATCGAAGCTCGAGAGTGGTCGGCTAAGTGATGTACAGCAAGGAGATAATCATGACGACATCATATGCACTTTACGACCGATCACCATTGGTACCAAGATGTATCGCCCAGGCCTGTGGCACTGAAAGTCCGAATACGTGCCAGCTGATCACAGCATCACCCACACGGTATGTATGTTACGGCAGCGGTGATCTAGATGCCAAAGCGCAAGGAGGCAGTAGCGCCTCCCCGCTAAGGGTAACTAGCAAAATGTCCACGACTACCGGTAGTACGGGAAACTACCGACCACGCGCGTCTTCAGAGGCGGAAACGTGACACACGGCCTCATAGCCCGCAACTAAGATTTTGGCGTACCAACTCCCGCTCTAGACTGTCCCGAGGTCGGCACTTGCCAGCGCACTTGAGCGAACAAGCAAACAAGATCATCGTCTGCTCATTGTTCGAGCAGCAGAAGCAAGCTATCGGAGCTGAGATCTAGCCAAAGTCTGTTTCGAGCGGTCCCAGAGTAAATACGAAATGACAATGTCTCCCTGGGCAGCCACCACAAGCTCGACCAAATGCCCTAATTGAACGTGCCAAACTCTGATACTAGTACCGCTCCCTTTTTCTCCTCCATGACTACCGGGCGGGACAAGAACCGACCAACTAACTACCCGAAACGTAATTTAGCGGAAACCAAAAGCAATTCAGCAAGCGGAAACCGGCGAATTTACATTGCCCGGTCCGATTTCGAAAGCGTATCTCGTAAAATGCGTTCCAGATGTGTCCTTGTTTTTCCAGCAGCATCACTTGCATCGTCGTCGTTGTGTCATACCAAGAACATGTTCCTTCGGCCGCATAACCGAAGAGACAGCATTAGTGGACCAGATTCCACAAATCTAGCTTTTCAACACGACACGTCACACGAGTACAAGCTTCAGTGCCCAGGTGTTCCAGGGCTGGCCGTTCATGCACGTGCGCACCTTCCACTTCAGGATGCAAAACCCAGCGCAAGCGTAAAGGGTAAGAACGTTTGCAGGAGAAGGCAAAGAAGAGTTTCACGATTTTGCCAAGTCTTTCAAAGTTTCACCATCATGTGTCTGTCAGCTTCAGTTCATTGGAAAGCTGGCATGGAACTAAGTTTTCTTACTGCGCTTTGCTCCGCAGAATAGACATGAGGTGGATACTCAAACGTTCGACGGAAACTCGGCATGACGCAAGATACCTGTCTAGCTGGCTGCTGGTGGCCGAGGCCGAGGCCGTGACAAGGTACCACCACTACGGCTTTTGCGTGTGGATAGAGCGGATACAAAGCGCTCTCGAGGAGGTAAGAACGATTGGGTGAGAACGCAGTGGCAGGTCTTTCCGCTCTTGTACCCAAAGTAGCGGCCGAGATGCAGCAACGTACCTAAACTTTATCTTGGAGATGGAGGGATTAGAAATGAGTAGTGCAGTGATGGTGATCTTGCCGCCCCTGTATCCCTACATTAGACGGAATAGATCAAAGAAATACGACATCGGGACGACATGATTACTACAGCAAACGTGCCTCTTCTCGACGAATCAATATGACGACTCAAACAATGATTGAAGTTGAAATGCTCTTGAATTCATCATGTCGACATAGCTAGATAGATCATAAATTGTTATCCGTCTTGAACTTATCCCACGCCTCGTTCAATGTGGCAAACACAGCCGCACTAATCATCTTCTGCTCTGTGGTGGCCGATTGAGATATCTGTAACGAATAAGGTTAGCAAACAGTCATGTTGTTTTGGACATGGGAGAGGAGAGAACATACCTTATCAGGATGCACCTTGGCAATAGCCTTCATGTAGATAATCTTGACCTTGTTCGGCATGACCAGATCACCCATGTTGACCTTCTTCCACCCTGCATCCTCCCAGAGCACTTTATCTAAACTACCCAGTAACGCACGCAGGTTATCTGACTTGGTACCCTTCCAAGCAACGAGTTTAGCATCGACTTGGTCGGTAAGGGCAAATTTTTCATCGTCTGCACGTTCAGCGGCGGCGTTGGCGGCTTTCATGCGTTTGACGGCTTCGGAGTCATTGGCGGGACCACCACCAAGATCTGACATGGCAGAGGGTCTAGGAGCAGCAGGCTTGCGGGCTGGAGGCGGGCGTTTAGTAGCTGTCGGGGCGTTGTTATTCCCATTTGCGGCTTTCTCACAGCGGTTGCGACCGGAAATGGCAATGGCGCCGCCTACACCATTTTGAACGGCTTCTTTCCATACGCCGTGTGCATCTGCCCACTTCTCCATGTTCTCCAATGCTTCGGCTTTTCGCATGAGAGCTTTGCCATAGAATTCCTTCATGTCTTTTTCGCCTTCCATTCCTCCCGTAGCAATCTTCTCGCCTTCTCCTCTTGACACGCCGATTATCGCTAAAGCTGAGTCGGCATCAGCAATTGCCGCCTTCGGGTCGCCAACTTTGATGTTCGTAACGGCGCGATTACAGAGTACGATGATCGTGACGGGATGATTGCTTGGGAGAGGACTCAGTGCAGAAGAATAGGCAGCGTGTGCAGCAGGGTAATCCCCACGCTTGAATGCTTCGGAACCTCTTTGCCGGTCGGCTGAAGATGAGCTGAGCGCGGAGGATGAGACTGGAGGTATTTGCCTGGGCGGTGCTTTTGGCCTGGGTGGCGTTGGCGTAGGAGCCGGACTTCGAGCTTTCTGGGATGATGTTGCTTGGAGGAATGGATTGTTAGATTGAGCAGGCGTTGGTTGGCGCGAAGACTGCTTCGACGGCGGCGTGGGATCTGGAGAGAATAGATCCACTTCAGGCTGCGGCTGCGGCTGCGGTGTAGTCTTCTTCCGGCGAGCAGGGCTGATATATGCTTGAGAGCTTTGTTCCTCTACCTCTTGCCGGGTCAATCGTGTTGCTGGTCGTTTATCCAGACTTGATGGTTGCTGCCGCTGTGACGGCGATTGCGATGACATGCGGTCTGGGTAACCGTTTCGCCCGGTTTCTTGCTCTCTTCTTTGTCGTACAGGTAGCGGTTCGGCTTGGTGGCGCATGTCGCTCGTCCGGGATGGCTTCGTGGGACGCCCACCAGCTTCCAGCATCATGGCTTCGTCTGTAGCCGACGCCTCGGCCTTTTGCTGTCGACTTGAACGAGGAGCAGCTTCCGCAGCCTGAGCGTCTCTCATCCACTTTGGCATGTTTGGATCACCCTCCTGTTGGAAATCGGCCATAGCCTTTTGTACTTGTTTGCGGCCCGTCTTCCAGAGAGAGTTTGCCGATTTGAATAAATTGTTGCCAATCTCTGAAGCCATTTGGGTGACGTCTTTTTCTTGACCTTCTTGCCTACGTTGTCCTGAACGGCTTCGCGCTTCATCTTCTTGCATCCACGCGGGCCTAGAGCCGCTTGCCCGTGGTTCTCTTGACGACTCCCGACCATTGGATCTGCTGTTCCCACGCCTCGGGCGCTCGTCTGAATCATCAGGCTCTCGACGTGATCTGTCTTGGCTCTGCGAATGCGTTTTCTGTTTCGCCTCGGCATGCGCCTGGTTTAACAGCCATCCCACAGCAGCCTGCACATCGAGCCCAGAATCTGTGGTCGCAAGAGCAATTGCCGACCTCTCAGCTGGAAAGCCCATGTCCACAAGTTCAGCAACAGCTTTGTCATGCGCGTTCTGAGGGCCTGGAGAAGTTTGTTGTCGATGGTCCTCCACGGGTGCTGTCTGAGGCTCTTCCTTATGCTGGAATTCGGAAACTGGCTTTCCTAACAAGCCTAGTATATCGTCGTCGGCAGCGTTGGTCGTTGGCGGTGGAGCAGGCGACGTGGACTTTTGTGCCATCTGCTTGAGACCAAACATATCGTCATCGTCGTCGAGGAGCTCATTGCTGCCGGAGGAGGGCTGTGGTAGTGGCGTGTTGCCTCGGGAGACATTGGCGCTGTAGGCAGGTGTGCTCCTGCCACTGCTGTGGGTGGGGACGGGGAAGTGGCTTGAGCGGTCTACGGGAGCTGCTGAGTTGAATGCTGCTAAAAG